AGTTCATGCACTTTCCTTGAACTAGTCATCTAGACTGGAGACAGTCTTCCACAGAAAGTGTTGTGACCTGGTTTGGACAGCAATCACGAGGCCTTCTGTCTTAGGAAATACAGTCAGTTGTCAAATCCCAAACAAAATTCCTAGCATCAGGCTTCTTGAAGACCTCTGTGACATTAGCAAAGAAATTCTTACCAAATCCCCAGAGCAGAGAAGCAATTTTGAAACAGAATTGAGTGTTTGAAGCTGATAATGAACATGAAAGTCAAAAGGGTACTCTCGTTAACATTCCTACAGTTTCAAAAATCCTATTTCTTTATTAACTAATTTTCATCTCAATTCTTTTGCTTTTTTTTTTTTTGTAAAACATTAAGTGGACATAAAGAAAAAGGGTTATTGAGACCAAACTTCCTTATTTCTATATGGCTTCTTGAGTGTCATAGCATTCCACAGATGCTTGTAAGAAGTATGAATAAATTGATTATAATTGAATGCATCTGTTTTCTTCCTGTGAATTAGCTAGAAGAGTAAGTTTTACAGGGACTTACTATAGATGACACTCCTGAAAATGTCAACCCTTTCTTTGCTAAAAAGCTTCATGCCTTTATACTTTTGATGCCCCCAATGGAAGGATATACCCCATGAATGCAACCCAGAGGTGCTAGCTCAATGTTCAAATTTGCTTTAATATGCAACTCAAGTTTGAGTAGGAGGCTCCCACACTTGTGCCAGAATCAGTGGCACTTGGGGTGGGGAGCACACTGTTTTTTGAGTATTGTTTGCATTGTGTGCTATTTGCTGTCAACTGGCAAGTTATGATCCCATTTCCACCTATTTGAAGTTTCTTCAAAAGAATCAACACATAAACAAGATTCACAGGCTGACACTTCTGGGCTATGATCCATAATTTACTGAAAGCTTTATTACTGAGACGTTCTCAGGTGAAAAGAAAACTTAATTTGCCAAAACATCTGAATTGAGTTCCCTGTTCTGTGGTTTCCTGTTAGTCTATTTTATGTTAAGATAACAAAATACCTGAGACTGGATACTTTATGGAGAAAAGAGGTTTGGTTAGCTCACAGTTCTGAAGATTCAAGAGTATGGGGCCAGCATTAGGTTGATTCTGGTGAGGACCTCATGGTGGATGGTACCACAATGGTGTGTATGATAGGAAAAGATCTCAGGGCAACACAGGCAGCCAGAGAGAGGGAAGGAGCTGGTTTCATAGCCTCCTACTAGGACCCTCCTCTTACGGGTCCCATCACTTCCTAACATCCCATAGTGGAGATCAAGCTTGTAGCATATGAATCCTTGGGAGACAAACCACATCCAGACCACAGCAGGTCTCAACAGGGAGTACTTCTCCTCCTTCTTCATCCATAAAAGTGGCAATACCAACACCTATTTAAGAGAATCGGCTTGCAAAGACAATGCTGTGACAGCACTCTACCGTCAGTGAAGACACCAGCTGGCCCATCTCGAGGGCTGGTAGCACGTGCAGGTCAGTGGAAATAGTGTGCCCCTGTCTTGTCCTTGGCTTATAAAACAAATTTCTCATGATATATTCTCAGTAGCAATTAACTTCAGGTTACATTTATGCACCTCACTCTTGGCTACATTAAGCTTGAGGTGACCAGAAGTTAGTCATATTGGTGTCCACTGCCTTCACAACTATCGCCATAGAGAGTTAACTCTCACCTGTGCCATAATTTGTCTAGTATTTCTCTTTGTATCAAATTTAACTCTGTATATTTTCATCTTGCTTTAATCAATAAATGGCAGATTTGACATTCTGGTAATGTGTGCTTCCAACCCACAAACCATAAATAGAACAACACTGTATTCATTCAGCCAAGATCACTATATCACCCATTGCAGACAGGAGTAGGCTCTTCCCCAACGAAGAGAGCTTGTACACACATAGAATTCCCAGGATATCCCCAAAGAAGAGAAAAAGCACCCCCAAACTATACTTCATTATCTAACCACACATAACAAACAGTCTTTACATTCCGATGACACTTTGCAGTTTCAACAACATGCTTATGGTCATTATACTATTTGGTCCTGATCTCAAAACTAACAGGAGGAGTAAGAGATGCTACAGAATTTATATAGGATAACATTAGAAATGAGTGGTAGCATCTCTAAAACCTTTAAATTTTCAGCTCAGTTCACTTTACCCTACTCAAGAGAAACAATATATTTAAAACAAAACAAAACACTGCCTTTCCCTCTTTTGGCAGAACTCTCCAACACCATCTTTTTATCCACTCTTCCAACAACCATCTATTTACCCATCCAGACATCCACCCCCTTATGCACTGATTCCTCCACCTACTCATCCATCCATTCATTCACCCACCTATCCATTCTTTCATGTGCCCTTCCATACCTATATTCACATCTATCCTTTTATCTCCTCATCCATACATCCACCCACTCATTAATCTATCCATCCATTGATCTATCCATTCTTTGTCCATTCATGTACCCATCCATCCATGCACCCTCCCTCCCATCCCTCCATCTATTCACTCAACCTTTGGGGACCTTCTTTGTGTGTGTTGCTAGAGAGTGTGCTGGACTGCCTACCAGATTTTATTCTTATAAACAGCCAAGTTTTCATTTTGAGCATGGATAGCAATAGAAGTAATATCTGTTATCAGTTTCTCTTCAATTACCATTTATTTTCCCATGGTGATAGCAAAACAAAGCAATATGCTCTAATTCTTCCTATCAACTGCAAGAAAATATAGGGAGGCCATCAACAAAAGGATCAGGAAAAGACCTAGTTAATACGAGTCTTTTCCTTCATAAGTACATCAGAAATACAATAATTGTGATTACGTTGTTGGATCACTTGAGATGAAAAGGGCACACTTCCAATTATTTCTCATGAATAACGAATTTTCAAATTATTAGAAATCTGTCTCTAATAGTCTTGCAACTTTTTGGAAGAGCTAACTTAACTATCTGGGTGTTTTTTCAGGTGGCTGAGATTCACTTATCTTCATGATTGCTCTCTGTTTGGGTATTTTAGTTCCTCAATTTCAGAGTCAAGGGTGGTGAACCAGATCAATGATGCAGGTGCCCTGTGTTGAGACCCTGTGTTTCAAAGTAGATAAGAAAAAAAAAAAAAAACTTCAAAAGTCAGAATAGAGTGAAACAAATATGAATCAATGATCAAATAGCTGGTAAAATAGAAGAAAAAGAAAGCCAACCATGCAAAAGAAAGTAAAACATTTGAAATTTCTTAAATCAAAACTGAAAAACTAAAAAGCTTTAACATTCCTGCTGAAGATTTTTTTTTAAATTCTCAAACTGGGTTTAACCTCTACGAAAATACATTCACCAAATTTCCCAGTCACCAATTACTTATTTATCAGTTAATGCAATGGAGCTGTGATTTTCAAACTCTAGTGTGTATCAAAATTCCCTAGAAGGACTGTTACAACACAGATTGCTGGGTCCCACCCCCAGAGTTTCAGATGGAGTTAGCCTGGGGTGGAGCTAAAGAGTTTGCTAGTTTCTAACAAGTTCCAGGATTGGTGCTGCTACTGCTGGTCTGGAGAACCCACTTTGAAAAGCATCACAATAGATCATCTCTAGACCTCAGTTTCTCAGCTGTGTGTGACACTAGGGACCTCTCCCTCCACCTCTGAAGCCCAGCCTCTCTTGCTGTCCCTGTTAACCAGTCTCAGTTCCTTCTTATCTCTTGGGGCTCCTTGGGATCTTGTCCTAGGCCACTGCTTTCACTGAAATCTAACTGAGCCATCTCATTCACTGAAGCCTTCACTTTTCAATTTAACCTGGTGGTTCCCTAGACTGTGGCTACTGGCTGTGCGATTCACTATGGCAGGGTTTATGGTCTTCTTCCTGACTGCATTCCAAAGAACAGAGCATGCCTGGCATGTGGAACATGCACAACCAACATTTGTTCCGACTTCCTATTAGATGTTTCTACCTAAGTGTTCCATATGCTCGCTGGTGACCAAAATGTCTTCACAGAGGGATGGATCAGAGAAAAGGAAGGGAGGCTGCAGAAGGGGGACCAAACTGCAGTTAAATAAGAGGAATAAATTCTAGTGTTTGCTAGCACAGCAGGATGACTCTACTTCATGACAGTCCCTTAGAAATTTATGAAAAGCTAGAGGAGAGGAACTCAAATGCTCCCAAAGCAAATATCTAATCATCGTGATCATTGAACAATATATTAATTGACTGAATTATCACACTGCACTCCCTTGTTATACACAATTATCAGCAATTTTTTAAAAATTTAAAAATTAAAAAAATCAAATAATATCAATCTGATTCTTCCTCCATATTTCCAAAGTTATCATCCATCCATCTCGTAAGACCGAAGAAAGACCTTGAACCTGCCCCTCAGAGATTTGTTCATTTTGCCTTCTAAATCTTCACTCCATTCCCATTGCTACGCCTAGGCAAGGTGCCCGTCCATCATCTGCACACCCATACAACCTCCACGCAGGTCCACCAGCATCCAGCCAGTGCTGGGCTCTCTCTCGCCCATGTCCACCATGTCAGTCCCCTCGCTCTTAGAGCACAGCCCCGCCCCTCAGCAGGGCAGTGGGTCTTTGTGATGGTCCCTCCTCCTGCCTCAGTCCTCAGCGCCCCCACACGGAGCATCTTCAACTTATTTTTATTTCTGAGCCATGATTCAAGATGTTCCACCTGGAGTAGTGCTACCCTTCTCCTCTTAACCCATGTTTTATCTGGCTAACGTCTACCCATTTTTCATTTTCCAATCTTAAAAATTCCATAAGTCTTCCAGTTATCCCATCAAACAAAACCAAACTGGTTTAGCTAAGGCCTCCCTGGTTCCTCAGACCCTCCGCATCCGCGCAAGGTTTCGCCCTTGCTTGTTTAATTAGTGCCACGTACATACGCAGGACAAGTTCACGTCTGCAGTTACCGCCCCAGGAGAGGACTCAGTCAGAAACGCTGAAGGATAAGGCCAACTAACTTAATGGGTCAAAATGTAAAAGACTATTTAGAAATTATTTTTAAAAATTTATATGTTAATAGAAGTAAAGTAGTGGTTATGTCTGAAGGATACTAACAGGGAAGGCTCATTAAGGAATATTCTAGAATGATGGAAATATTCTGCCCCTTTTGTGCTTGGAGGTTATAGGAGGATATATACACAGGTGAAAATTATTAAAGCTGTACGTGAAGAATTATGCATTTTGTGTATGTAACTAATACCTCAATAAAATCAAATGAAGGATGGAAGATTAGCTCCATGGTACAGCATGTATGAGGCCGTGGGTTTGATTCCCAGCACTACCAAAAAATAAAACAAGCCAAAATGAATGAATAATTTTAAATTATAGTATAATTTATATGGAGATATAAAAAATAACATGGGCTAAAATCATTCATGTGGGACATAATAATAATAGAACTCAATAGCCAGGCAGGGTGGCACATGCCTGTAATCCCAGTGACCTAGGAGGCTGAGGCAGGAGGATTGCAAGTTCAAAGCCAGCCTTAGCAACCTAGTGAGGTTCTAAGCAACTCAGTGAGACCTTGTCTCTAAATATTTCAGAAAGGGTTGGGGATGTGGCTCAGTGATTAAGTGCCCCTGGGTCCAATTCTTATATAAAAAACAACAAAACTCAGTGACAACTTGCTATGGTCTGAATGTTTGTGTGCCTCCAAAATTCTATTTTAGCCCTTTCCCCCCCTGCAGTAGGATTAAGAGGTGGGTGTTTAGAAAGGAATTATGTCATGACAGCTCACCTTCAAGAATGGGATTAGCACCCTTATAAAGGAGGCCCATAGCCAGAAGTCATGCCTCTGTAGTAACAATTACTCAGGAAGCAGAGGCAGGAGGATGATGAGTTTGAGATCAACCTGAACAACAAAGGGAGACTCTGTCTCAAAAATTAGAGGCCCAAGGAAGCCTCTTGTCCATGGTGCCATGTGAAGACACTGAGAAGGTGCCATCTACAAAGTAGACAAGCCCTCACCAGACACTGCCATCTTGGACTCTAGAACTGTGAGCAATATGTTTCTATAGTCTGTAAATCACCCTATGATTTTATTATAGCAACTCCAGCCAGGATGAACTAATATACAATCAAAGACATAAAGCTTTCTTAAGGTGCTAAATATATCCCAAAGATCTGGAATTTAAAACATAGTGAAGTTATTATTTGAATCTGTGTCTGAAATGTGATTATTTTAGATTGACTACTCCTTACTTAAACTTGAGGCCCTGAAATATTTTTAGGAAAAGACATTACTTCAAAGTCATTTTCCACAAAATTACATACACTATTTTAAAATCCTGCTTCACAAATTAGGGAGGTTTGAGTTAATGGTGTGTAATTATACTTCAACATCTGAGATCTTAAACTATGGTAATGACAACTGCAGCTCAGCTGGGTCCACACTATTTTTAATAATATCACTTATTGTTTTCTGCACTGAAGAAATAAAGACACAAGGCAAACTATGCCATGTGGGCCTTTACAGTCCTATTAATGAGGAGACATGATATGGTGATTGGGGGGGGAAGAAAAAATTTCCATCTTGTCAAGAAATTCAGAATGGTCTAGTAGTCTTTCTTAGAACAAAACATAAAACATGGAAATTCAGGGTTCATTTTCTAGAGAAAGGTGGTGGGTTTAGAAGGTTGTTTTCTGTGTTTTGCTTTTCTAAAGAAGGTTCCCATGACAGGACTTCCTAACATTCTTGAAATCTCTGTGGATATGACTGGTCAGCAGTCCCTTCGAAGGGTGAAAGCCAGTTTTGAAATGCAGTAATCAAAACATTTTCCAGGTAGGGTGAAAAACACCCAGGGACACTGTACACATCCAAAATAATGAGCATCACACAATCACTTGGCACTAAACAGCGTTGTCCACACATCAGATCAAAGTTACTGCCCTTAGTTTTCTGGAATGGTTTTCCTACAAAAGAATCTTTTTTGCTTCTATTGAGCAATAGTGTAGTGGAAGTTTGACTTTTCTTATTTTTGATTTACTATTGGTATTTTGACACCCAAAGATCAGAGAGAAAGTTTTTAAACTCTCAATTATCTAATCTAATGAGGACATTACCATCATATTCATCATTATTACCAATAGAGTTGTTACATCTAGGTCTCTTCTAGCGCCAGCCTTAGAAAATCTGAAAGCCACCAAACCTCCTCAGTCTGACTGAGGGATGAAGCCTCGCAGTGTCCCTTTTCCTGATGGGAAAACTGAGGTAGGTAAGTGGCAACCCCAAGATGAATGGCGCACAGCAGAGGTACTTATTCCTAATTTGGCTCACTCCATAATTTTTTTTTTTCAGAGTATTACCCGATGACAAGGACAGTGTCTGATAAGTTGGCATTGCACGGGAGATGAGATGGACGATGAGGCTGGGGGTGGGATGGGCGGCGGTCAGGGATGGTGGTGATGGTGGTGATGGTGATGGTGGTGGTGGTGACGCTCGGCCGGCTCCTCTCTCCCGTTTCTCCATGACTGCCCGTCCTCTCTGCCTCCTCCGTCCCCGCGTGGCCTGCGCCCAGAGAAACAGGATTTGCACCCAAGCCGCACGTCCACGGATGCGCGGCTGCGGCGCCCTGCCAACCTGCAGCCCCTCCGCGGCCCGACTGGCCGCAGCTCCCGGCTCCGCGCCCCTCCGCGCGCCGCCACCGCCCGGCACCCCAAGTGGCGCGAATCCGGAGGATAGAGCCCGCCCAGCATCCCCTGCAGGGAGCGCCCGAGACCCCGGCCCGCTCCCCGCCGAGCCCCCTGCGACCCGGCCACCCATCACTTACGCCTGCGCTGGGCCCCGCGCACGGCGGCCAGAGACAAAGGGTGCGCGCCCGCTGCGCTGCCGGATGCTCCCCGAGCCGCGGCTGCTGGGGACCAGGAGGAGGATCGGGAGGACGAGGAAGAGGAGGAGTGAGAGGAGGAGGCGGTGGCGGCGGTGGCAGTGGCGAGGGCGGCGCAGAGGAGGGGCCCCGCGGTGCTGGCCACCAGGCTGCAGCAGCCGGAGCCCAAATCCTCCTCAGGCAACCCGCCACCCGGCTAGGCGCAATCCTCCGGAGCCCCCAGCCAGGGAACCTCCCCAGGGACCAGGGCACCGCCCCCCAGAGGGCGGGGTGAAAGGAAGAGGACTGGAAGGAAGAAGGGAGGGTTGTGCGTGTGTGCGTGTGTGTATGTGCGTGTATGTGTGTTCCTTCTTAATCGTGATCGTCTCCACCCACCCAAGCGTCCGCGAGCAATCTCATGAAAATGCTAGAATCCCAGGCTCACCTGCCCAGCTCGGAGAGGCCTCCCACCTACCTCCTCTTGGGACGCCTGCATACCTCTGCTTCAGAGGAGCCAACCATTCTAAGAACAACAAAACTGAGACCTGGAAGGTTGAGTGCCCAAGAGGCAGGGCTAAGGAGAGGCAAGCTGAGAGGAGAGCGCCGGGGTCGTGAGCCCTTTGAGAGCCAATGTATTCTACCTGTTTTCCTGGCCCTGGACATCCAGGGACGGGTCAAGATTGGGGGACTAGGACAGGCAATTCCACATGCTATTCTATCTGAACGCGCAAAAATGGGCTTCTTTTCTTAGGAAAAATAACACTTGGTTCAGTCATTTGCATCTGGGTATGAAGAGCAGTTTTGATTTTCTTATGGAATTTTTAAGAATCAAAAGTAATGAGCCAATAGTGCTCATCTCCAGCTTCAAAGACTGTGGAACACCTTCCATTCTTCTGTCTTTTCCTCTCTTCCCCAACAAAGAGGCATAGGACTCTTTTCAAAACAGGATCATACTATCATTTTTCCCACTTGGCAAAATTAAGAACAATTCCTTAATATCATCTGGCCATTATTTATTAACTAATTGTTCACTGAACACTCACTATTTTCCGGGTCCGTGTTTAGAGATCTACCTGTATTGCTTGGCTTTGGTGGGGACCTTAATTTTGTCCAAAACTGTCAAGGATTTGGCTGTCAAGAATTATGCAAAACTGTTGCTGGCCTGCGGTCCCTGATAGACCATGAACTAGAGAACATTGACCCATGAAGTGACAGTTGTTACTGTGTCCCAGACCCATTGACAGCTTTGACTGAAGCCCATCCTTCCAGAAAAGAATTTTTATTTCAATTCCAAAAGGAATTCAGTTCAGTTCTCACCAGCAGTCTGAATCCAAGTGCAGGTTACAAACTACTGAGGTGTCCCTGGCAGCCCCTAAGAGTCCTGGGAGTGAGATCTGGAGGGTCTGGTACCCACCAGAAGAGCTGGGTTCCCCACTGGTTTGCTCAGAGTCCTAGGGCCCAAGCATTGCAGAGATTAATTCTGGAATGCTGGGCCTCATTCTGTTTCTAAGTCCTGTGCAGGTGTGGGATAGAAATGGATTCTTAACTGAACCTCAGAAGAACAGTTTTCTAGAATGAAGAGACTCAGGCTGTGCACAGGGCACATGATACTTAAAGCATTTAAACTTTTTCAGGGGAAGAGTCAAGGCATGTCTGTCAGTGAGCAGCTTTGCAAGCATCAGTAAGAGGTAACAGGCAGTCAAGATGGTGGCTCTAGACCTAGACTGCCTGCCTGGCTTTCAATTCTGTCTCTTGCTAGTGAGTGACTTTGGAAAAGTTACTTGGCATCACTGTGCCTCAGTTTTCTCGACGGGGAAAAAAATTGGGTTGTGAATGAAGTCTGTCCATCAATGCTGCCAGGAAGCATATTTGCACATATAGTGCCTGGCCCAGACAGGTTGGAAAGGTGCTCAGAGTATTCCCACTGCTCGTACCCCCTAAACCCAGAGGGATCACTGCCTCCCAAACAATCTCAGCCTTACCCTAAGTAGACAGAAAAGGCTCTTACCTGCTTCCTGTTGCAGTAGAAACAGAGCATACCTAAGACAAAATGGCTCTCCTCTCTCTGCAGAGGCACCGGGAGGGAAGTGCAGATGCTTATTGGCAGGGCTTGGTGGAATTCTTAAATACTCTGGAGTTCCTTATTGGTATGACTTCAGGAAGTGATCTCTTAGGGGATGAAGGGAAGCCTCTTTCCCTGTCTACCCTGCATGGCCAGAGTGGCCTCAGCTAATGGACTGATGCCCCTCTCCTCCCTGCTCCAGCATTGCGCCTGGCAAAGCTGTCCCTGACAGCCTCAGGCAGAGGGCAGTCTCCCCTGTCTGAGACCCAGGACCTGCTCTGCATGGGTGATGAGTGCTGTCCGTGGCTGTGTGTGCCGCATCGGCCCATCCAGCCTGTAAACAGATTGAGCTGGGAATCCTCACCCACAGCCTGAGCTTTCCTCATAAGGCCCTCATCATTTCCTGACCTGGTGTTGGTACAGACAGTGCTTCCTGTGAGTGCACACACATCATAGAGCATCCTCCCCAAGGGGTTTGTCCCAGGCCACCATTTCTATGTCCTGTCACAAGCCCAGCAGCTAGCTCGGGTGACTCAAACCTGCTTCCCTGCTCCCCTTCCCTGGGGGCAGGGGGTCAGGGCCTAGGGAGGCAAGCCCTGGGACTGGTATCCTGAGCGTTGATAATGACACTCCAGTTCTTCTGATGGTTCCATTCTCATTCCTGAAATGGGAAGTATGGTCCCCTGCCCTGGTGTGCTTATGGATTTTGGTGACCTTTTACTAAAGAGAAACATTGTGTCAGTCTGCTTTCTGTTACTCTGAGGCAATAACTTAGAATACTAATTTAAAAGAGGAAAGATTTGTGTTGGCTCACAGCTTGGGGAGGACTCGGTTCATGGGCACTTGGTTCCTTTGCTTTGGGGCCTGTGGTGAAGCAGAACCTCATGGTGAGAAGCTGTTCCTAGGTCGTGGTCATGGGGCTGGAGGCAAAAAGAGAAGATGGGCAGGACCACTAATATCCCCTCAAGGGCATGTCCTAATGACCAACTTCCTCCCACTGAAGCCAGAATTAGACAGGCAGTCAGTGTAGATAGGTAAATCGAGTCACATCGATCAAGGCCAATTTTGAGTGAGTCTGGGTGTTGGAGACTGTCCCCTGAGGGATTAAAGTGTTAATTCCTTCAGAGCCCCTCCTCCATCCTTATCAAGAATCTGCCCTTGCTCCAACTTGCTTCCAAGATAACCTGTCCCAGGAATTGCCCCTCCATACAGGGAGCTATAAGGTAGTTAATGTGTCCTTGGCTGCTCCATCCTGCCCTTCCCCCTTCAGCCCACCTGTTTCCCACTTTTGACCTCCCCACCGAGCATTCCTGGGCCTAGTCACTCCTCTGGAAGGATAAGGATAAGGGGGAAAAGGCAGGAGAACAAAGGAAGCCTAGGAATATAAAAAGGGCAGAATACCTCGCTTCTGGGGATATCATGATGCCAGCTATGGCCCCCTTCTCCCTTGCGGGAGAAGTCTGTGTTACCCCATTTTAAATAAACCCTGCTTCATATGCTTGACCTCACTTCCTCCAACTAGGCTCCACCTCCTAAAGGGCATGTCCTAATGACCTCAGTTCTTCCCACTAGGTCCCTCCTCCTAAAGGGCATGTCCTAATGACCTAGCTTCCTCCCACTAGGCCCCACCTCCTAAAGGGCATGTCCTAATGACCTAGCTTCCTCCCACTAGGCCCCACCTCCTAAAGGTTTTACCATCTCCCAGAAGCACCAGGGCTGGGGACCAATCCTTTAGCACATGGGCCTTTGGGGAATATTTAAGATTTTAACCATAACAACCATCTTTTCTCTTTTCTCTCTGCCTCCCCATTTCCCTCTCCCCTCTCCCCCCCTTCCCTTTTCCTCTTTTAACTCCCTTTTCCTTTCCTATCTCATAATATGGATTACATTGATTTTTTTTAAAAGACTTTTGATGCACTTGGCATCAATTAGGGATGGTGTTCGTGAATACAATCCAGTCTTTGGCTTTTGTAGAATAAGGGAAACGAGAGAAATACAGTGTCTAATTCTATTCATGAGAGGACTGCCAAATTATAGGTCTTCTTACAGAACCTGGAATGTTTTGGGGATACTCAGACCTGGTGATTGTTCCTGGAAAAAATGTCACCAACAAGCCCTAGTGATGGGTTAAGATGCAGCATAACAAAGAACATTATTAGCACCCATTTGTTCTTTCTGGACCATCTGATAGTCTGCTCCCAGCTCTGAGAGAGAACTCCATGAACTATTAAAATGACAAAGAACTTTCATCTGGATAAAGAAATAGAGTTTGGTTTAGCTAAATGGAAGACCATACAAATGAGAAAGGACAGCTTTCTGTGATGAATGGGCTGGATGGCTGTAAAGATCAACTTACAGAAGATTAATGGAAGGAAGATGTGTAATATCTGGACTTCCAGCTGTTGGGAGTGCTGGACTTATTGACATTGAAGATAAGCTTAGATAAAAGAAATTCAGTCCAAGTGGAGAGAAAATACTTTCAAATAAGCCTAATGCTAGCAACTAAATGAAGGCAGTAAATATATCTGTGGTTCCAGCTCATTTACTATTATAGAGGCTACAGATCATTGTAATGAACAGCAGATTATTAACCACAAAGTGCCCTATGCATCACAAGGAACTCAAGCCTCACTCTCCCACATCAAAAGAAATCCAGCTGCCTGATGGCACAGGAGCTTGTGTGCACCAGTTAGAAACCAAGCAAAGTGAGAGTATCGTAGGGGAGGGGGTTGAAACATCAGCAGGTGAGGACTGCGTCCCCTCCTCAGGATCTGGATGGGCTGACCAATGCAGAAGGGTAGCAGAGTCGATATGTGATATTAGGGGGCCAGATAGGGAAAGGTGTGCAGCTTTGGGGTGGCTTCCTTGGAATGCTTACCTTCCAGGTGTTCCCCAGACCTGGCAGCACTCAGCCCAGGCACCAGGTGTATGAGGAAGACGCCTTCTGATTAGTTCAGGGACCTGCCTCCAAGTTACCTCCAGCTCCTGGAGTCTTTCCAGCTGACACCTCATGCACTGCAAAGAAGAGATGTCCCCTCCTTGGCACCCTGTCCAGATTCCTCATCCCTCCTTCCCCAAATCTGTGCACTTAATAAAGAGGTTGTCTAATGCCATTAAGTTTGGGTAGTGATGATGCAGCAATAGATAA